TTCTGCAACAAAGCTTTTGGTGTACTTTGACAATATTGGATACATATGGAGTAGTGTTGGACGAAGAGCTAAACTTTTTTACTAATATTTTTATTACAATTCCAACTAAGCTCTAAGCTTGTGCTAGGATATGATTTACGACAATAGTCGAATGGCGGGATTCGAACCCCTGACCTCGTGATCGAAAACCCGTACCCTTAACCATTAGGCTATTGACGCTTATTGAGTAAGCATTTTAATAATACTGAATCCAAAACTGCAACCCTACATTTCTACATTGGATTTTTTAAGTCGCAATGTGATTTAAAATAAATGAAAGCCTAAAAAAATTTTAAGGATTAACTCTTTTAAACTATGATATATCTAACGTAATAGCTCTATGTAACTGTTATTATGTGTTTGATAGCAATAATTTACCTAGGTAATACATAACATAGAATTTGCATTAATGTTTGTTAATGTAATCTCGATATTACCGCTCCCAGGGAGACGACGCTATTGATTTATGACGTTGCGTTAGGCTCGCTCGTAGCTACATTTATCTCACCCTAGTCTCTTAGACTAATTAAATAACTATATTACATACGCTTTGTCTACGTATGTTATGGAATGCTTAATTCAATAATTAAGCAATTACTTAGTAATCTAAAGTTTTAAGCAGAGAATAAACACTTTGGAAAGTTCCGGGGACACCTCTGTTCCTCTACTTCTTTTTGTCAACTGGTATGTAATACAAGTATTGTGACATCAAAACTCTTTTTATTTGCTGATAGGAGCTTTATTAACTACTCTGTATTAATTAATAAATTGCCGTTATCAATTTCCTCATCAGCTCACTATACGTCCCGACCGAGGGGATCGGAGCCTACCCTAAGTTAGAGGTGACTAGGCCATAGTCAACCACGCTGGCCAAGTGCGGGTTGGTTGACTTCACACATATCTTTGAATTCCTTCTCAAGTATGTGCAGGTAAGATGTTTTCCTTCACCGTAAGAACGTCGGATAAATGTACATATGTAAATCGGAAATCTAAAAACACTTGGTACATGACAGGACTCGAACCCAGGACCTGCAGATTGCAAGTCAAGTGCCCCTGAGCCACCGACGCTCATCAATCGTGCGCGTTATCAATTTAGTTTGAATTTTACCTTCTCTAGTTAAGGCAAAAATAAGACGTATGTTAATAACATTGTCATAATAATCAAGCATCTGCGTAAGCTAAGCACTAACGACTTTCTTATAAATATTAAATGATAAACATGATTGACGAGTTAACATAATTATGTTGTATCAGCCCTAAGGAAGCAAACTTACATTGGCGACTAATAACACGTTATCTTGACAGTACAAATTATGTATCATAACGCGAGCCATAGCTGCGTAGTTCATTAATTCTCAAAGGGGCGGAACCAATAAAGCATCAACTAATACACTCAGCTATCACAATTTGCATTTCAAACGATTTGCCACAGAATTTCGATACTAGAGTAATTTCCACTATAAGAGAAAGGGAAAGCTAAATTAGAAACTGACGATTAATTTCGAAGTTTGTAACAAAGCTGTGAGAAATTTGTTTACTTTAACAGCTCTTAAAGTAAGAAACGATTATTGAAACTTACTAATATTATAAACGTTAATGTTTGGATCGGTGTTTAGAACGTATCTTTAGAACGGCTGCATGGATCACTCTAAAATTTTGCTTAGACGTAGAACATGTAAGCTACTAATTAAGCTTTATTTTAATTCCGCACGGACGGAGTCATGAACATTAGCTAGTTTTTTATAATGACGAATAAGAAAGCGACTAGATCCATAGCATAGCACAAGATTCATGGCTTGCTGCAAATGGATAAGACTGAACGTTGTATGAATGAATTGTGTGAAAGAGGATATGCTTAAGAAGAGAATAAATTTAGGTGACGGCTAATAGAGATGTATGGAAGAGTAATACATACTGTGCCGACACTGTTGGGACAAGAGAAGGAAGAAGACGGCTGTAAGGTATCAATATAATGCTGGGTTGTAATTAGCTGAGAGGACTTGTATTAGAAGTTAATAAACGTTGCTTTTTTAATTCATTTTATATTAATATCAAGTATATTAATATGGCTTATGTATGAATAAATATTTGTTTAAACGAACATCATGTAAACATCTGTTCAAAGCTACAAAGTAAATATAATTCCGCAAAACATATTGATAATTACGCTTCAAAACACATCAAATATGTTTTAATAACAAAATAAAATCTACTATCTAGTTAATGTGTACTAAGAATAAAGTAAATAAGTAGAAGATAATCTAATTAAATATGATTGTATTACACTTTCACCTTGGTTCACAATGTGGCTAGTGAGATTGTAAAACTACTATTTTTATCATTAAGTAATACATCTTTATTTACGCAGTAACTCTATACCACACCTATACCTTAACAACATGATTACAAGCCGACCGTTATTCATCTAGACTTGATAACAAGCACCATTATATCAGCTTATAAGCTACATACACACATTATATAACCTGAAACATAATATTACGCAGAGGAAAAGTAATATTTTTATGATATTATTATACTTCTTACTAATATTATAAATTCGAATGTTTAGATAGATGGTTGTTTGTTTGAAGGTATCTTCAGAACGGCTGAACGTATTTCGATGAAATTAGGCCTTCTTATAGGACATCGTCTGTAAGAACACATAGGCTACTAATTGTGTTTGTTTTAATTCCGCGCGGATGGAGTCGCGGGCGACAGCTAGTGATAAAATATAATTAAACAGGTATAAATGTCACGTAACTAAAGTATTGACCAATTTCAACTATTTCTGTGATTTTATCAACGTTCTTCTAGGCTGTAAATGATTTTTCAACAATTAACGATAAAAATTCGAATTTATTTTCTTCTTTATAAAATAAATGTTTCATTCAATATCAAATAAGAGTTCAAAAATATTGTTAATACTTTATGCCTGGAGTGAAGAGCCAATGCAATATTTTTAAGTAAAACATTTGAAAACATTTTCCAGTTTTCATTTTTATTTCCGTCCTTTCAATTCTTTACAGTGTCGTCAAACAATGCATTCGCACAAAGAGCTCGTATCCCTTTGACGCCCCTAGCAGCAACTCCTTCTGCAGTTGCTTTGCCGAGTTTTATATTATAATCTGATTTTGCTTAAGGCTTTTATTGTATGGGTTACTCATGAATGAATAAAAGGTATCATTATTTTACTTAACTTAATTTTAGCGCTTTTGAAAGTACTAGCTGTCGCCCGCAATTCTGTCCGAGTTGTATTAAAAAATTAGCATATGTTTCCTTCCAAACTATGGTCTACATCTATATCTTATTTCTGCAAAATTGTGAAACAAACATCCATCCAAACATTCGCATTTATAACATTAGAATGCATAGAAATGCCATTGTAGAATTATGTAGCCCAAACGGCATAGGTAACTAATTTTCTCAAATAAAGTTCATTTAACTTCACATTCTTTACTGGTGGCTGAAACAGTACAGCAATTATTACAAAAAGTATATAAACAAAACCCATAGTGTGTCAGATTTTCTTTTAATTTTAATAATAACTAGAGGTTCCTTCCATTAGCTCAATTTTCACAGAGATATCGACTTGGAATATTAAATTTTTTATTATATCTTTGATATTATACTTACCGTAAAATACTGGATATTCTTTAAAAGAAGCTAGAATATTGAAGCGAACCTAATTTTATGGAAACCTTTATTCAGTTCAATTTACTTTTTCTTTGATCGTAAATCCTTTCCATCTTTAATCTTTGCCACGAGGAAATTTAAAAATAACAAAATCGTCATGTTCGATTTTTAAATTTAAAATTATGTTCTGCACATTATTAAAAAAAATGGAGTCGAGTGACCAATTTGAAAATAACGGCCAGTCCTTGCGCATTCGCGTAGTATTTACGAAAAAACAATGTTATTCATTAAAACCCCTATTCACAGTACCCTATTAACAATTACGCACCGGAAACCTGGCTGGTTGGTGAGGCGATAATAATCTACGCTTTTTAATTACACCAATGAGAGTCCCGCCCGATGTTTTACTTCATATGAAAACGTCCAATCACATTAGAGACCGTTGACGTGAAGTGTCACTTTTTGAACTCAAAATATATTAATCATTTCATCATTATGATTTTTAGAAAAGGAATTCTATACTTTGTTTTATTTCGTTTTCATTCGAAATGCATTTACATTTTGACGTATCGTCGAAAATGCTGCTATATAAATGATGATTGATCTGTTGTATTTCTTTCGGGACGTTCGGAATTCAAAAATTCAAAAAAATTAAATCCTTCATATTCATTTGTTTTTCCGACGTAAACTGCATTATTTATTTTATAAATTACAATTGTATTATTTTGGTAGATTGTTGCAACTAACTCGTAGCACTCTTGCCTGCATCCAACTTTACTTAGAAATCACCTGTATAGTGTATAATTTACAGCTGCTCAAGCGGATAGCTTCTCACAAATTATGATTCTAAATAACACATTCCCTCGCCGCGGCCGACAACTGCGCGGGGATTCGAAATTAAACATAATTGCTTAATTCTGAACGCACGTTGTTTGCTCAGATCGGGCAACGAAAGAGATGCACATATAAAGGTTAACGGTAACGACAGAGATAGATTAACGCTCGGATGCGTTAGTACCTTCAAGGTATAAGGAATTATGTGTTAAAGGATTGGAGAGTGCAATCATTAGGAATCGTGGTTTAACGTTATTATAAGTATAGTTAGAAAAAGTTGCTCTGTCACATAATCATTTTAGAACTAACGGACTTTTGTTTTATTTAGATCGAAAAGCGTGTTATTCTTATCTAAGCCAGAAACAAATTACCAACATTTATTTAATCTAAAAAAAAGTTTGAATATGGATTCAACATCTTTGATCTTATAATGTCCTCCTTCTTTCTAAGCTTTACAAAATTTGTAATTGTTGTTTTTTATTTAATTTCAGATGTTGCAGAGATAGTGTTGACATCATTGTTCAGGTATGTGTTACATACATGTATATACATATAACTTATTTATATACATATAGCATGCATCCTTTGAAATCCCTAAATCATCTGAATGTAAGAAGGGTTTGCTTATGTGTTGTTGAATCTATCTTCCAAAATGTATGCTCTTGTTTTCCCGATAAAGAGATTCGAGTTTACATCCGGATCACAGCCTTTGCCTTCTCAATAAAAAAATTAAAAACAATCATCTTAAGTTATACAGGCGTTTAAATAAAATTAATAATATAATGCTTCATGAAATCCTGACACCATAATCGGTAAATCTTCCCAATAGCCAAAAATCTTGTTACGCAAAACTTCCTTCTAACAAAACATATCTAATAGTTGAAGATTGGCCGTATCATCGTTTTATGGTCGTTTATTTTTCTGCGTAATATATTTAAAGAGGTAATAAATAAAGAAGTTCGGAAAGGATGGCATAACACGCTAACGATTGTTCAAAACAAGCTAACATAATGTACAAACTTACACGTATTCACAGCGTATTTCGGCAGCGAACTGAGGAACGGATATTGTGTGCCTCGGGCGTCGGTCATTATATTTTTTTACATTAGCTTTGTGAGCCTATATTGTGTTGCGTCAAGCGATGTTCACGAATTTAAAGGTTTTATAATAGATTTCTTAATATTGTAGCTTCTTGTGTTATTTGAATTTTAGGTTAGGTTTTAAGAATTAATATAGATTTCTAGATTATACTATAATAAGACTAGTAATAAGAACACTATAAAGTGCATTTGAAGTGTAATTATTACTGAGAAAATTCTTGGCCTTAACCAATTATTTCTAATACCTATTAGGTATATAATAGCTTTTACGGTAGAAGAGATGCGCAAATATGAAAACACGCTATTGTCATAAAGATCAATTGCAAATCGGAGTTTTTATTTACTTGGATAAGAAAAGAAATTACAGTCTAGAATCGGGTGAAGGAAAATAAAAAATAAAGTAAATTCTAAAAGCAAAACAAGAAGAAACGACTTTATTAACTGCCAGTCTGACATGTTAAAACAGATGTTCCACCTTCGCGCTTGACGGATGGGTCAGGCGAGGTCGGCCGCCATCTTGCAAGAGTCCCGCCAATCGGTGCTTCCCCGGGGTGCTTGTCAGCGGTATAAGCGAAACAATTACAGGGTTCGTGACTTTGTAAACACCGCTCTCAAGTCACCGAAGACGTTCTTGTAATTTAACACCAATATTTTTAAGTTTTTAACTAACTATTAGTATCTGTGAATAAAAATATAGAGTAATTTAATTAAGAATATTATAAAAATACAGACCAAAACCAATACAGTGTTAAATAATTATTAGAAATAAAGTAGAAGTTTAATTACACTTCTTAAATACAATGAAACACTAATACAAATAGACTCTTTAAGCGTAATTTCATCTCGCGACTCTATAACGGAATACTTTTCAATAACATTTACAAGATAATCAAAATTAAATTCTAATTACCCAATATGTCGTATTTATTCTTCGAATACAGCTTTATGATTCCCTTCTGTCAATTTTTTTGCAGCAAATTCGCTTACTGCAATAAAGAAAACATCACAAATATGTCAGGAAACATTTGCACCGTCAGAGACTGCATAAATTGCGGTTTGTTCTTATAATAAAAATGCACCTGTTCTTTGATGTTCGTTTTAATGAAGACATTTCGGTTCCTACGCAGGTGTTCGCGTTTCTCTGATCCGAAATCGACAGCTCATTATGTTGTTTAATTCATTATGCGCTTTGTTTTCTTCATTCATTTTTTATATCTCCTTTTTTGTTCGTTTATTGTCTCTCAGCAATTTATTGTAAAACAAAACGGCTATAAACTCAGTATCTGACCGCTATAACAGATGTATGCAATTAAGACGTAAAGTTTTTTTTCGTATTTCAAAAGGTAAAAGGAGGAATTTATCCCTCGCTTTGAAATGTTGTGTAGCCATTTGAATAACGTTTTAATTAACTCTAAACAATGGACGCAAATAACGATGTGTTTTATTTTGTCGTCGATTGAAAAGAAAATAAATCTTTGATTTTTTTCGTGACAATACAAGGCTTGTTCTCTTTTAAATGGCTTCTACTAAAAAATGTAAACGAAACTTCTTCTAGTTTGTAATAATTACAGTTTTTTTTTAATCGAAAGATATCTCTTATACGAATCAATTGAAGATTGAAGGTCTTAATAAAGTGTACCAATTAAATTGCATCTTTATGTATAAAGATTTAAAGTTTCGATTTGTTTAATTGATGTTTTGATATGTTGATGATTGGACTTATCTAATTGGTATAAAACTTTTTGAATGATCCCTGATTATATGATTATCGGTTGAGTCGAAGCTTGTTGGAACTATTTATATGGTAATAGAAATGAAGATAATTTAAGGAAATGCCGGGAAGTTTCTCAGGAATGGTTTATTGGAGTTAGTTTTGGTAACACGAGCTTGTTACTTGGGTAAGATATGAATAGAACGATTACTGATAAAATTTAATATCAGTTACATGAATAAAGTTAAGCTCGATTTTGTTATAATAAGATCAACATGATGTTATAGTTAAGATTTAAAGAGAGACCGATCGCATATCTTGGAGTTGTTAGTAGCTTAGATTTTAGGTCAATCATCAGAAATCGAGTTATCATAAAAATATCAATACATGTAACAGTGGTAGAGACCGCTTTAACATCTTCGCACGAATTGTCCCGGCTCGCCCGGTGAAATACCACGACCACACAGAAGACAGGCGTGAAGTGGAAGCAATTTCGCGTTTTGTCTGATGAGTGTGCGTCCCGGACGCCTAATATAGTCCTCTTTCCCTTCCCACCCTTTTTTTATAAGAAAAGGATGGGAAGTGGAAGTGGACTTTCCGGATGAGAGGATGCATGGGAAGGGAAAATATTTTCTTTCTGTGCATCCTCTCCTCCGTCGATTAAAGGTAGGCAACGCATATGCAATTGCGTATGTCTATGGGCAATGATCACTTCGCTATTTCAGCAATTTCAGGTGGCCGCTCGCTTGTTTGCCACCTTATGATTCACATGGTCATATTAGCATTGAAGTATACTATAATTTTATCCCAGGTACACTGTCCACTGAGGCAAAAGGTCGTCATCTTTATATCGTTCCTTCATATAGCGTCCACTATTGAAAGCGGAGCGGAGATGAAAAAAAAGGACAAAGAAGGCGGCAGATGCGCGCGATACTGCACAATTAATTTTATACGTTTTCAAAAATAACGTCTCTATCCAAAGGAAGCCATTTCTCCTCAGATTTTGACGCGTTATAAATTCTTGTGGCAATGTTTTTGTTGCTTTTCCTTTGTTGAGAACATATGCCGAATGATAATTGTTTTGGTTCAGTGTTTGGATATATACTTTTCCTGACCATAAACTAGATTATCGAAAAAATTCAAGATGCTTTTTAAATAACTTTGATGAAATCATTGATTTATAACTAATAATTAAATCTTACTAATATTATAAATGCGAATGTTTGGATGGATGTTTGTTTGAAGGTATGGTTAGAACGGCTGCATAGATGTTGCTGTTTGAAATACATGTAGAACACAGTCTGGAAGAACACATAGATTACTAATTATGTTTTCTTTTAATCCCAAGCGTACAGAGTCGCGGGCGACAGCTAATATTTGAGTCGTATAGTATGTTATTTACCTTACCTACTTTTTTAATAAATTGCATTATTTATCCATATGGGGCCGAAATATCGGCGATTTCGCATCAAAAATATTAAACACACGTGACATGAAAACGCCATTAATATACAAATGGATTCAAACCCAACTCTGGGGCGACAGATGGCCGAGCGTTCCCCACATTTGTATATCCATACATACAAAGGATCTCTTTTTTCTATATACACTATTATAACAAATAAACCTACAAATTGTTACATCGATTTATTTTTAATGCAATATTTGATTGTTAAATTATTACTTACTCCGTATATTTGTTGTTGGTTTACGTAACTCTATTGAGTTGTAACCGAATACTGTTATAACTCGATAATGCTATTATTGTTATGTAAATTAATAATTATTCCACTAGTGCTGTAGTCGTGTTGATATTGAATATTAAGAAATTAAATTCTGTTTTATTATATATGTTTATTGAACAATTCGACTGTTATAAATAAGTTGGTTTATTGAGTTTATCTTTGTTTCTTTCTATCTTAAAGCTTCCAGATCACGAATCTTACTTACTAAAATAAATGCGAATGTTTAGATGGATGAATGTTTGTTTGAACATCTCCAGAACGGCTGCATGAATCTTGCTGATATTGGACATAGATGAAGAAGGAAGGAAGAACACAAAGGCAGTTTGTTTTGATATATTTCCATCAAAATGCAGTTCTATTGTTTATACATTCTTTGTCGAATTATTTCATCAAATAGTTAGGGTTCTTGAACTCGGAAGTTCTTTTAAATCGTTTGTTTAATATCTTCCTCATCTATATATATAAAAGAAATTCGTGTTAGTTGCACTATTTATAACTCGAGAACGGCTTTACCGATATTACTGAAAATTGGTGAGGAGGTAGCTGAGAGCCAGAAGACGGACATAGGATACTAATTATAAGTTTTTTTTTATATATATACACGCGGATAGACTCGCGGGCGACACCTAGTTACGGATAAATAGTATGACAAAAATGAAAAGTTTTATACTAATTAATGGTACTGTGATGATCTGATGACATTGACAATACGCCAATAACTAACTAATTAACCTTCAATATGCAAAAGATCACTCGTCTAAAACTTTGATTAAAGAACTTAGAAGTTATAAACATTTTGATGATTGAAAACAAAATATAGTCATGTTTGTTTGTCTGTCAGTTAGCAAAACATCATAAATGGATGCGGTCTCCTTCATATCATGTGGCGCTAAGCTCCAATGTTGTTTTAGGTCCCCCGGCGCCAAACATATGCCGCTTAACATCTTCGGGCCTCTAAAACATTTCAAT